CTGAATTGGAGAGAACTCATACCTCCCGCACTAAAGCCGAACTTTAGCCATATCATAGTAACAATGTCCCAAGTGACTCCAAAATAAATAAGTTAACAACTTATATATATACGAAACCACATCCCATGCACAAGTAGTTTGTAACCACACAATACGTGCTCTAAATCCACAACTACTATAGGATGACAAATGTTGAATCTTCAGAGCACGATTTGTTACGCGCTATAATAGCATCACATGTCGAATCTTCAGTGTGCGACTCGTTACACGTTATAACAAGATAATCCAATATTGAAACGTAATCTCATAAATTCATTACAAGTCTAAAATCAAGTTTTAGATATACAATCAACGTCAAACACATGATTTAAATCCATAATGCAATAGAAACGGAATTTAATCAAGTAAACTAATTAATTCCTCTAAGTTGCAATTCTCCACCAAATGGCCTCAAATTACATATGTTAAACAACATAGCATGGTCATTGCATATACCAATTCCAAAACTTGATTAGGCCAATTGAATAACAAAATGGAATTTAATTAAATCATGATAATCAAATCCCTAAATTCTAAAACAACATAAAATGGTCCCATATTAACTTATACTAGTATACAAGTCCCAGTCATCTCAAATATCAAGTCAAAACTTAATTAAGCTAAAGGAACCACTAAATAGATTTTAATTAATCATTTTAATTAAAGTCTTTAGATTTTCATACTTATCCAAATGCTCTCAAATTTTAAGTATGTTAAACAACATGCCTAGACTTAATTTAAAAGCATGTTACAAGTCAATTTCAAGCAAGGTACGACCATGGGATTTAATCTCTCACAAAAGATAAATATTAAATAAAAAGTGCAATTCTTATTCAATTAATCCCAATTTAATATATGTCAACAAACATAATAAAACTAGATTTTCTAGCATGCCACAATTCAAATCAAAGTTAATTTTAAATCTTATACAAAGAAATAAAAATTAATAACTTTCAAGATTTGATACAAGGCATATATATAAGTTGTATAATCATGCTAAATACTCAATACAACACACACAAAAGCCTAAAACATTCCCTACCTCAATTTGAGATGAAAATCTCAAAAGCAATCAAAATGTAATGGCTCCAAATCCGACGAAACTACTAGGTTTTGTCAGGGACTACACCGTGCACATAACCCCAATGAAAGCCCCATCAAAATCACAACTTGATCTGAAAACCAAACTCAAAATTTGGCTAGAAATGGGTTCCAATAAGGGTGAAAGATAGAGCACGGCGAGGGGAACAACAAACGTTAAGGCCGAAGACTTTCCATCAAGGAAAAGTGAACCAAAAGAGGAGAGAGAATATGGCAGCACCCCTTGGGCTGCCATGGGAGCTCCAGGTCATGCTTGAAGTGGTTAGAAGATGAAAAATGAAATATCTCACCCCCCTTTTATAGAAATCTCAAAAAGTGCCCCGAACGGGCCCCGCCGGGTCCGAAAAAGTAAAATTTGAGCAGACGCGCTCAAATGGAAAAACTTTGTGAACAAAAAAGATTCAAAATGGGAAAATATGAACAACGGAGGAAACAGCATAAAAAAAAGTCCTGAGTAGAAAGTTATGCCTAAAACAAGTTTAGCGCAAACCGGGGCTAGAAACCCTGAAACTGGAGAAAAACGACCAGAAGGAAATTTTATGAATTTATGAGTCAACAAAAAGTGAAAATGAATCCCGTACGAGGATCCAGGCTTCAGACGAGATATTTTGCAATAACTTTCATTAATTCCACAATGGCCCCTACAAAAAGTGAAAACTACAATTATGGCCCAGAATGAAAATATCTTCCAAAAATATTTTTTTAAAAACCCTTGAAATAAAATATCTTCAAAAGATATTTACAAAAAACACCCCAAGAAATGAAATTAATTCCAAAGATTTATGCATCCATGCCCCTATGGGCACTGGGAGTAACTAGAGTACTTTTTTGCAAAAGTAAAGATACGTATTTCGAGGAAACCACTCAAGATGAAGACACGTGAAGTCAAAAACTTACTCCGAGCACGAAAAGTAAAGTTTTGCCAAATAAGTGACAAACGGGGAAAAGAAAAAATAGGGAAAAAGACAAAACAAGGAAAAGGACGAAAGACGCATAGTGTCCGAAAAGTGAAAATGCAGAATTAACTCGGTCTTCAAAGGAAGTTGTTAATCCACGGAAAAGAGTCTCGAAAACCATTTCCGAACACTCGAGTTGACACTAAGCGATACGAAACAGAGCTCAGAAGGGAAAAGACAACGTAAAAAATTTTATCCAAAAAATCCGAGTCATTACACACTTGTTCATCATGAACTTCACTGTCTTCATTATCTGAAATGTTAGAGTCAGATAAAGTAATGACATGAGGACCTCTTTCAAGAAAAGCGACATAAGAAAAATCATTAATATCATCCTGAGGAGAATCATTATCACTTAAAGTAGAATTTTCAGACATAGAAACTTTCATTTCTTTTTCTTTATTCCTATCATTTTGTTCTTTCCTAGGACTAGGACAAATATTGGATGCGTGACCTTTGCCACCACAATTCTAGCATATGAATTCAGTTTCTTTTGATTTTTCTACTTTCTTTTCATTAAACCTAAACTTTAACGTCTTGTCAAAATTTTGATGATTAGCTATGTTGGTATTCCATCTCCTCTATTGTCTTTGCAAGATCTGATTGAATTGCCTTAACAAAAATGCAAGATCATCATCAGAGTTATCATCCATAGAATTCTCAATCTGTGTAGATTTTAAAGCAAGATTTTTCTCTTTCTGATTTAAATCAAAGTTCTGCATCTCAAAAGTTTTCAATGAACCTACCATCTCATCAACTTTACAGGTAGTCAAATCCCAATGTTCAGTGATGGTTTCAACTCTAATCAGGAATCTCTTAGGTAAAGACCTTAAGATTTTTTCATAGATTTTTTTATCACTAACTTTTTTACCTAAGTGACGCAATTCAGAAATTATTTCAAGAAGACTAGAATAAAAATCAGAAAAAGATTCATCTTCTTCATCACGATGTTCCCAAAGTTATGAGAAAGCATCTGTATTTTGGATGACTTCACTTTTGATGTTCCTTCATGAGTAACTTGCAAAATATCCCAAGCTTCTTTAATAGTATTACAATCAGAAATTTTAGCATATTCGGATGGAACAATAGAATTAATAATTGCATATAACGCTTTGCCATTAACATCATTACGCTCAGTTTCAATAGCAGTAAATGTAAAAGGATCTTTCAAGACTTGGACTTCTTTACCATCTACAATTTTATCTACTGTAGGTGGTGAATAGCCAGTTTCAACAATAGCCTAAGTTTAACCACCAGAATTTTGTAAATAGGCTCTTATCTTTGATTTCCATAAATTGTAATTATCTCCTTCAAACAAAGGACCACGTTGATTAGAACTACCTTCTTTCAACGCATAAGACATGATTAAAAATCAATTTTTTTGAAATCAAAACAAAACTTTCCAACATGGATCAGCTCAATGTGTAGAGATTGGCTCTGATACCAATATATGAGTTGTACGCAGCGAAATATACTTAGAAAGTTTTGATTATTTTTTAAAACAGATCTTGTGTTTTTCTAACTTCCTTTGTTTTAGTAATTATTAAATTAATATCATGCAATAAAATAAAGCAAAGTAAAGTTAGAGATGACACAAGGATTTTAACGAGGAAACCCAGTTGATAAAATACGTCAACTGTTTGTGTGGGAAACATCTCGTGGACTATGCAGCCCAAAGTAAACTGATCCACTATGCTTGAAACAAAGTACACTGAACTCTGACTCTGGCTCACACCCTATCATTCTACCAAACACCAACTGCTGACAATCCTCTGGCTTTACGACTCCCCGTCCAACAGCAACTTGACCTCAGGCTTATGCTTGATCTTTTTGGAAGAGTAGCAGGTAGATCAGACAACACTCATCACTTTTACTTTTATTCTTCAATCGTCTGAATTTGATGTAGAAGTAGATCTGCTTTTATCTGATCGATGTAGATACAACTGTATGATTACGATCAGGATTCGAACACCACAACTCTAAACTCACTATGTGTTTATGTGTATGTGTTCTAGAAAGACAAACAGAAAACTGTTTAAGAATTTTTGAGACAAAAATCTTCCTAAGGCTTTTTAAGAATAATAAACTGATAATGCAAAAAGCCGTAAATAAACCTATGTGTATGACAAGTTTTATATAGAGTTTAGAATGTCCTAGTCCCTCTGAAAATATGAAAATTCGTGCATAGGACTTGGTACAATTCTAGACCAACTAGGAAACAATTCTGAAATAGGAAACTGATCATGACTACATGAACTGGTTTAGAGGGGCTGAACTGGTTCAAGTTTTGCAGAAGGATTTTTGAATCCAAACTCAGAGGGGCTGAACCGGTTCAAGTTGGCTTGTACTTGAAATATGGTTCTTTTAAGCTTGAAACACTGTATATGGTAAGTCTGAATGGTATGCCAAGTGTAGAATGTCTTAACCTATTTAGAATTCTTCCTAAAGTGTTGTTCTTACCTTTTTCGTCAAATGATCTCTATTATGGTAACTTTGAACTACTTTTCCAATTCTGTAGTTGCCGTTGATCTTGATAACTTGCAGTACAAGTCGCTGGAATTACAACTCGACATGGACTTGTTTTGTTTACGATAATTGCCAAATACAAAATAATATCTCACAGATCTATCCAACAACGATTTTTCTGGAGAGATTCTTAACTCCTTAAAGACGCTCAGGTATCTCCAATATTTGAATGTATCTTTCAATAGACTCTAAGGAGAAATTCCTACTGGAGGACATTTTGTGAACTTTACAGCTCAATTATTTATGCATAATGAAGCACTTTGTGGCCTAGCCCAACTGCAAGTCCCGCTTTGCAAAACCAACAAGAACCAAAGATCGAGGTCAAAAATTGTACCATTGTTGAAATATATTTTACATCATATTGCATCGATAACTATTATGGTGGCTGTCATATTTGTGTTGATGCAATATCGAAAACAAATGGTCAAATTATCGACAAATATAGATTCTTTGCCTCTGAAAAATGCAGATTCATTGCCTCTAATAAATGAAGATTTGTCATCTCTGATATGGAGAATAATTTCATACCAAGAGCTTTTACTAGCAACAGATGCATTCAACGAAGCCAACCTTATTGGTGTTGGAAGTTTTGGTTCAGTATATAAAGGAACGCTTTCAGATGGGATGATTATTGCTGCAAAGGTTTTCAATTTGCAATTAGAAAGAACAATCAAGAGTTTTAATGTCGAATGTTAAGTGATATGCAATATTCGCCATCAAAATCTTATAAAAATCATTACCAGTTGCACTTGTAACTTGGATTTTGGGCCCTTGGTACTAGAGTACATGCCTAATGGGAGCCTTGAGAAGTTGTTATATTCGCAGAGATATTGTTTGGACGACCTACAAAAGTTAAATATAATAATAGATGTCGCATCAGCCTTGGATATCTCCATCATGGTCATGCATCACCCATTGTTCATTGTGATTTAAAGCCCGAGAATGTCCTACTTGACAACGATATGATTGTACATGTTGCTGATTTTGGCATTGCCAAACTCTTTGGTGAAAGGGATCTTTTGGCACAAACCACAACCTTGGCAACAATTGGGTATATGGCACCAGGTGATGTTCTATGCTCATTATATCAATTGAGTTTCAAGCTTTCATATTTACTTTTTGCACTTGTATTGTCCTTTTCCTTTGTTAGAATTTATTTTCATTGCTGATTTGGTGCATAGAGTATGAAATGGAAGATAGGGTATCAACAAGATGCGATGTCTATAGTTATGGTGTCTTGTTGATGGAAATATTCACCAGGAAGAGGCTGACAGATGAAATGTTTGCCGGAGAGATGAGCTTAAAGTGTTGGGTGAAGGAAGCATTAGGGGTTTCAATAATTGAAGTTGTGGACAACAATCTGATAGGAACAAAGGATGAAAATTGATTAGAGGAAAATGACTTTAAAGTCAAATGAGTCGTAGAGAATTCAATGTATTTACTCCATTATTTTTGGTCCAATGGAAAGGCGACATGCGACAATTTCCAATGGACTTGCCAAATTGGATTATTACTTTGAATATCCAAAAGTGGGAGAATAGTATGAAATTGTTGAAGATTGAGTTTGTTGCCCACCTATAAGAAGGAAGTATGTGGTGAGTTCCAGTGGAACTTACCACGCTGGATTGCAATTCTTGTGACTATTATTGGAAGTTATATTTACGTAGTAATTGGACAAGTGGGCTAATGCAATCCTATTGTATGGGGTTTCCTATTTTTGTTAAGGAAATAGGTGAGTCCTTTTAGGACTTGCCATCTTTAAAATTAAGGGTCCACATCTTCCTATATGGAATGAGTTTGGCCACACATGGCGAGTTCTGTGGGACTTACCACAACTTATTAATTCCTGTAGGAATTGTTACTATAGAAGGTGTTGTATTTTTAAAAGAATCCCAAGTACATGGAGATTCACCAAAATTGGTAGCACAGAAATTGACCAAGTCAGATGACGGAGAACGTGGGGCTGGATTCTCTCCTTATTTTTAGGAGGCTTCAACATTTATTTCATTAAGTCAACTGTGTTTGCTGAAGAGGGAAGTGGGTAACGGTTTAGAGAGGCATGCATATTTCTGGATATATATATATATATATATATATATATATATGTGTGTGTATATATATATATGTACTGAAATTTAGCTCTCGAAATCCTAAAATCCTGGGGCCATCACGCCATAGAAGTCAAGACTAAACAAGAAAGTCTGAAGGAAAGGAAGTTGCCTAAAATTTAAGGAGACGTAGTCTACAGAAGAAAAGGAAGTGGGTTGGATAAATATATATATATATATATATATATATATATATATATATATATATATATATATATATTCTGGGAAACTAACCACGATGAGGAAGTTACTAAAATTCAGGAGTTCACAGTGCCATGATTTCCAAAGCTCAAAGAGAAAGTCCCAAAATGGGAAGTTACCAAAGTTTAAGGGATGTGGGCAAATATTTCCGGTATATATACATATATATATATGAAATATCACCCGCAATAAGGAAGTCACTGGAAATTAGAGACCACAATGCCATGAAAGGAAGGTTCTACAGAAGGGGAAGACTACTAGAAATCATAGGACACTTGGCTAAATAAAGATACAATAATTAAAGGAGGTGGTATTTCATGCAACTGCCACCACTAATTGAAGAGAAGTTATCGTGAATCATGGATGGTAAGGCTGATGAAATCGTGTCTAAAGGGGAGGATATTTATGGCAAAAGAAAGGGAGCAAGAAATCGTGGAAGATAAAGTGGAAAAGATGATAGAAGAAGATAGAAGGAAGGAGTTATAATTGCCAAGAGAACATGGGACACTTGGTAGTTCAAAATCAATACAAGTGGAAGTTGCTAAGGCTGCTGTGCATGCATGAAAAACTTTATAAATAGAACACTTAGGCTTCACTTGCAAACCCTGTTCAAATCACACAACCCAACATCACTTCAATTTATTCACATTCATGTATCTTTACATTCATGCAATGCACATTCAATATGTTTAATTCAAGTCCTGCACTTATTATTCCTATTTTCCAACACTTTACATTGAAGTCCTGCATTTTCAATACTACTTTTTTTTCCACTAGCCATAAAATAGTCCAGAAGTCCTTTTTCAAGGCAAAAAGAACCTCCGAAGGTGGTAATTCCAGTCCTTCATACAATCGCTTGATCCTTGCAATCTCTTACTGGATAATTGTTCGGATATCCACTTTGGAACGACAGCAGTTCCTAGCACGCCCGACATTCACAGAAATATTGTTTGGATGACCTACAAAGGTTAAACATAATAATAGATGTCGCATCAGCCTTGGATATCTCCATAATGGTCATGTAGCACCCATTGTTCACTGTGATTTGAAGCCCGAGAATGTCCTACTTGACGAAGATATGATTGCACATGTTACTGATTTTGGCATTGCCAAACTTTTTGGTGAAAGGGATCTTTTGGCACAAACCATAACCTTGGCAACAATTGGGTATATGGCACCAGGTGATGTTCTATGCTCATTATATCAATTGGGTTTCAAGCTTTCATATTTACTTTTTGCACTTGTATTGTCCTTTTCCTTGTTCGAATTTATTTTCATTGTTGATTTGGTTCATAGAGTATGAAATGGAAGATAGGGTATCAACAAGATGCGATGTTTATAGTTATGGTGTCTTGTTGATGGAAATATTCACAAAGAAGAGGCCGATAGATGAAATGTTTGCCGGAGAGATGAAAGTTTGCCAGAGAGATGAGCTTGAAGTGTTGGGTGAAGGAAACATTAGGGGTTTCAATAATTGAAGTTGTGGACAACAATCTGTTTGCTGAAGAAGGAAATGGGTAACGGTTTAGAGAGGCATGCATATTTCTGGATATATATATATGTGTGTGTGTATATATATATATGTACTAAAATTTAGCTCTTGAAATCCTAAAATCCTGAGGCCATCACGCCATAGAAGTCAAGACTAAACAGGAAAGTCTGAAGGAAAGGAAGTTGCCTAAAATTCAAGGAGACGTGGTTTGCAGAAGAAAAAGAAGTGGGTTGGATAAATATATATATATATATATATATATATATATATATATATATATATATATATTCTAGAAAACTAACCACGATGAGGAAGTTACTAAAATTCAGGAGTTCACGACGCCATGATTTCCAAAGCTCAAAGAGAAAGTCTCAAAATGGGAAGTTACCAAAGTTTAAGGGATGTGGGTAAATATTTCTGGTATATATATATATATATATATGTATGAAATATTACTCACGATAAGGAAGTCACTGGAAATCAGAGACCACGATGCCATGAAAGGAAGGTTCTACAGAAGGGGAAGACTACTAAAAATCATGGGACACTTAGCTAAATAAAGATACGACAATTGAAGGAGGTGGTATTTCATGCAACTGCCACCACTAATTGAAGAGAAGTTATCGTGAATCATAGATGGTAAGGCTGATGAAATCATATCTAAAGGGGAGGATATTTATGGCAAAAGAAAGGGAGTAAGAAATCATGGAAGACAGAGTGGAAAAGATGATAGAAGAAGATGGAAGGAAGGAGTTATAATTGCCAAGAGAACATGGGACACTTGGTAGTTTAAAATCAATACAAGTGGAAGTTGCTAAGGCTGTTGTGCATGTATGAAAAACTCTATAAATAGAACACTTAGGCTTCACTTGCAAACCCTGTTCAAATCACACAGCCCAACATCACTTCAATTTATTTACATTCATGTATCTTTACATTCATGCAATGCACCTTCAATATATTTAATTCAAGTCCTGCACTTATTATTCCTATTTTCCAACACTTTACTTTGAAGACCTGCACTTTCAATACTGCTTTCTTTTCCACTAGCCATAAAATAGTCTAGAAGTCCTTTTTCCAGGCAAAAAGAACCTCCGAAGGTAGTAATTCCAGTCCTTCATACAATCGCTTGATCCCTGCAATCTCTTACTAGATAATTGTTCGAATATCCACTTTGGAACGACAGCAGTTCCTAGTACGCCCGACATTCACCCTCATTTCCGTACTTAGAAAGGACCACAGTTTTTAGGAGCTGAACATCTTGGCACGCCTGGTGGGACATCTTAACAAATTGTTCAACGACCAGTGGAAAAAGGTAAGGCAAGTCTATTTAAGACCCTGCCGAACTAAAAGAGATGCAAGTCAGTGAACTTTTAGTGGAAAGTTCATAATTCACACCTGATGAAAATGATATGGTGGAAAAATTTGCTTAAATAACAGCAAATGGACCCATCATGGGCAACATTCGTACGATGGCAATGCAGTAAGATAGGTTTATGCAAGACCAAGCAAAAGTCGCTCAAGACTTAGCCAGAGTTACTCAAGACCAATCTAAAGCTGTTCTTTCTCAAGAACGGAATTTAGCAGAATTGGTGGACCAAATCTCTCATAGGTTTGAGTCCATGTTGGAATGGTCCTTTGGTGGATTGACTCAAGGTTTGGCCCCTCGGCCAAACAACTCTGAAGGGTCTCAACAGTTAGCCTTCCAAGCTAGCAGGATGGCCCCATTTATTGAAGGTACTTCCTCTTAGCAACAAGCAGGGCCATTCCCTCCAACTCAGCAGCAGGTGCAGTCCCTTCCAATAGTACAATCTTACATGCCAGCTGCACCTGTGACCACTCCAGTGGCACATATGACTGTTCCCCAAACGGTGCCCATGCCAGCCATTCAGCAAGTTTAGAATCCTCCACCTATTGTATTCTCACAGCAGACTTGGTATGATCAACTTGGCCAACCATGGCCATTCCTCAAGCACAACAGAACGTTCTACCTATGAACATTTAGCCAGCCATACCTGCTCCTCCAAAGCCACCAATGGTCATTCCAATGGTGGTTGGGGGGCAACCTTTTCCAAGGGAGCCACTTCTTGACCAAGGAGGAAGGAGTCGTGGCAGGAATAACTATGCAGATGCCAATCCACTGCTAATGGCGGGTGGGGGGTATCAAGTGGCTAATCAACCTCAAGGTTGGCCCGACAACAACCCTCTACAGCCTATGGCACTTGATAGAGGCCAATTTGTAGAATTCCTTTAATAGGAATTTGGCCTAACTCGAAGGGTGGAAGGCCAACATACAGAAAGCCCTATCCAGAGTTCATTGAAGAAATTGAATTTCCAAGGAATTTCAGAATTCCGGAGTTTGCAACGTTCAATGGAGAGGGCGAACAGTCCACATTAGAATATATCAACTAGTTCACTGTCCAATGTGGAGAGGCAGCAGCCAATCCATGGCTGAAGGTATGCTTGTTTCCAAATACACTAACTGGTTATGCTTTCAGGTGGTATTCTAACTTGCCAGCCAATTCCATCCAAAGTTGGCAGCAATTTGAGGATTCATTCTATACTCAGTTCTATAGAGCTGAACCTGAAGTGTCCATGGCAGACCTTTCCAAACTTCATCAACTACTTGGAGAGTCGGTAATGAGCTTCCTTTCCAGGTTCAGGAGGCCAAGTACAAATGTAATTTGTCTTTGCCGCCAGAAGAATATGTGAAGATGGCTATGAATAGCCTAGAATTTGAACTTCGTAAGAAGTTTGAAGGAGTACAATTCTATGACTTATTTGACTTGGCCGATAGAGTGGCTAAGTATGGAGAGCTCCTCCATGAGGATCAAGACAGGAAAAGCTCTTCTAAGGGCACCTACTATCATAATCCTAACTATGAGGTATATACCACCAAAATTGATAGGGAGTTGGAAGTAAATGTAACCAAGCTTAACATAAAGAAGGCTTATACTTGTGAGGCCTTGGCAAAACCAAAATTAACTACGGCCAACTTACAGGCCACCTCTGGTTCCAAGTGCAAAGGGGCAGACCCTTCTAGGAGTTACACTTTTGACATCTGATCGGTTGGTCAATTAAACATCAACCTTCGCAATAGCACGAATCATTGTAAAATAGGGCTATTGGTCGGGTAAGTCGAACCACTGGGACTGCGCTAGTCTAAGGCAACCTAAATGTCTAGAATCATTCTTAGAATGATAAGGGGGTTTATAAAGGTTTGTTTGTTTGTCACTAAACTAGGAATTCAAAGATACATTAACAATAAAATTGTAAGAAATTTAGAAAGAGAGATCTAGGTAGAGAAGACTAAGGAGATGAATTCACACTACACCCTAAGTACATGCTAGATTAAGTCTAAATTGGGGATGGACAATATATGCAATGGTCAAGAAATATATGACAACACTTAGTTACCATATATTTGTTAAGAGATCCATTAAATTGGCACAAGAATGATCCTTCAAAAGCTAACACATTGAACTACCTAAACTAGGATGTAGAGTCAAATATATTATCTTAAGCTAAAGATCATCAAGCATTCAAGCAAATGACAAAGCACATGAAGTAGGAAACTAGCATAACCCATCAAAGGAAGTTCCTAAGCAATGGACTATCCATTTTTCTATCAACATGCCTTGAAAAAATTTCATAGTTTTCTCCCCATTGTCACCATGAGAATACAAGCAATAAGATTAATGTAAGAATCATCAAGTCAAGCTAAATAACTTACATCAATCATTTAAACATAATAGAGTTCATTACAAGAAGTAATATGCTCTAAACTATGAAAAGACCAAAATCTATACATTAAAATCCCCAAAATAGAACCTAATCTAGAACATGAACAACAAGGGGAGGCTTCATCACCTCCCTAGATAGAGTTTAGTTACCCATTGATGCACTAGAGGAATGAGGAAGCTTGAAGAAAGACTCCATTTTCGTGCTTCTTCCTTTGCTTCAAGAACACACCTTTCTTGCTCTCTTCTCTCCCTTCTATCTTGTAAAAATGAAGCATAATGATATGTGTGGCCTCCCTCCCTTATCTTCTAGAGATAAGCCTCTAAAAACCCCCACCAACCAACATCTCCAACCAACCATTAAAGAGGGAAATTAGAATTGAGGAACCCAAGATGCAAGTGGCTGAAAATGGGCCATTTCTGGATGCAATTCTGCCCTAATTTCGAGCACTTGAAATAAGGGCTCGAGCACTCGAAATTGGAGCAGAATGCTCCATTCTTGCCTTGCTCCGCCCAGACATACTTTGGTAAAATGGCCATAACTTTGCATTCCGAACTCTGAATGATGAACCGTTTAAAGATTTGGAAAGCTAATTCAGAGCTCTAAAAACTTTATGTTTGGTGGAGATCCAATTCTCAAGTCTGGTTGGTCAAAATAGAAGAGCAAGGCAGTAATTCATTGCTGCCAGGTAGTTCTGAGCACCTATGATAAAAAGATCATAACTCTCTGCTCCAAACTCTGAATGACAAACCATTTGAAGATTTGCAAAGCTAATTCAGAGCTCTAAATATGTCATGTTATGATAGAAGTCCAGTTCTCAAGTTTTCAAGGTCAAAATGGCAAGCAAAGTTCAGGATCCACTGCTGCCAGAAATTCAGCCTTGTGCCTTTTGATGGCCAAAACTCCATAAAGCCTTGATTTTGCTCCTTTTTTTGCAAATGGACCTGAAAATATATACATACACACAAATGAAGATAATCTACTTAAATAATCAAACGATGGACTTAACTAATGCAATTTAGGGCGCTTGAATATACAATATTCGGCGCTTATCACACCCCCAAACTTACATTTTGCTAGTCCCTAAGCAAAACGAAAATGGAAAACTCAATGGAATGACAACAAATCTCCACTTTCGTGAGAGCAACGGTTGCATTTAGCATATGCAACAAGCCTTTTAAACCCCTAGGCATCCCTAGAGGACGAGTGAAGTCTCGTGAGGGTTTAACAGAAATGATACCCACA